ATTCTATGATTCTATGATTCTATGATCATTAAGACCAGGATGAGCGTTCAGCCTCATAAAAACCATTAAAACTACACTTCAGACTGGGAGATCTCCAGGACCTCAAGTAGCAGACGAGCAGGATAAGTGATAAAATATACCTCACCAAAATCATGAGACTACCTAGAGAAAATTCTTTCAGTCACAGAAACTTTAACTGAAAAAATCAGAGCCTTATATCTAATGTAAAACCATGAATGGATCTTTTCCAATATGACTCCTATACTTTGTGTAAGCCCTTCTTGTTAAATCTGACCTAATAAAAATGAATGTGCATTATCAAATAGTCCATAATTACAGGTTACAAAATTAGATACTTGGTTTTGATGATGGCTGTCAAATACTTGAACTAACATCATATACTTGAACTTGCCTCGTTCTTCCCAGGATCATTTGCAGTTCTACAGCTCACTTTCAGTAAAATGGGAAAATCTGCTATCCTCTAATAAAGAAAAAAAATCCTGGAAATCCAGGGTAATTGACTTCTGCAGTCATACAGATAATAACATCTTGAGTTACACGTGAACTGTGGGGCAGAACTGCTCTGCAGTGTCTCCTGCAGTCCTCCCTAGTCCAGACTAGGAATCTGGCTGGACCACAACATAACCCTCAGCAAATCTAAGTTTTCTTCTCATGGAACTCAAGGAGTGAGTGAAACTTCAGATATGTACATTGGGTTTTGCCCCAATGTGAAGCTATGATGTGGCCAAGTTTCACATCCGGAGTCAGCAGCTGGAAAATGTTCCCAACAACCATGATTTACACGTGGTCTTCAAGACCAGACACCTGCTTTCCTGCAACAAATAATTGACCCAGAGCCTTATGTAAAGTTTCCAGTTTTAACAGCCAACAAATTAGAACCTAATTTGACTCTTGGTGGGAAAATGACAACCTGACTCCAATGGAAGGTGAGGTCACTCAAGGTTGTGCACACCAGAACCTGAGAAATTATTTTGAAGACAGTCTAAAGGCAAATAAGAAAACCCAAACGACAAACAAAACCATGGCTTAAACCACCCTGGTAAAATAAACTCAGTTTTGCCACTCATAATAATGCTGGCTGAATTTTGAATGCATATGAACTTCCAAAGATTGAATGCTCTCAAACTGTTATTCAGTTTGCAAGTGCCAATGAGCTGCTTCTAAATATATTACACTATGTCACACAGACTGGGTAAATTATCTCCATTGTTTTATGTTTAGAACAGATAAATGATACCTTCTCTCCTGTATCCAACTCATATAACAGGTCAGACAAATGATTCACCCCTCTGACATATGTTAAGTCTTATCAAAATTTGGTATATAGATCAATTGCCTCTGTAACTTTTTCTCCCTTTAAATTCTCTTTCGACTGTGAATAAGTTTTCCCTGATCTGAGACCAGTTCAGAGATTTTTGGTCTTTTCATTTTTTTAATGGAAGAGGAGATAAGTAGAGAAAAGACAGGACCTGCTCTGGCAGGCAGGATTTCCCAGGTTCTCCTAGGTTCAACTAAAAGCTATTTTAGTTGCAGCTGATATATTTCTGCCAACAAAAGTGGCTTAGAAGAAAACAGAATAATGTTTAAAGGCTTCATGATACTTATTCAGAACTTCTATTTTCCTCTCTTTCTTTTTCTTTTGACACAGGTGATGAAGGTGACGGGGTTGGACTCAATGATTTTAATGGTCTTTTCCAACCTAAACGATTCTATATGTTTGCTTGCATTTTTAAATATGGTTGCATTCTAACTGATTTGCAGGGGGTATGCAGCAGTTTGGAAATCTTATTGCAAGCTCACAGTCACAGAAGTAGATAATTACTATCTCCACAATATCTATAAGTTAAATTACTTGTTTTAATACAGATTAGATTAGTATTAAAGTTAGAGGATTGGTATGAGAGACATGATAAATGTAGTCATGACAGAAAACAATTTTTAATTTAGCATACCCTATCAATCTAGATAGCCCATGAATATTTACCATTAATCCAGTAGGCTGGAACAGAGGGGGTAAAAAGAACAAAAAATAGAAGGTTTGACCTAAACAAGGACTGAGGGAAAAAGAGAATTCTCAGCAGTTTTACTGAGAACAGATCTTGCAAAAATGTGAACTGGAAACAGATTGGAAAATACATTTGGGGTACCATTATAAATAAAGCCTTCAAAAAATGAATGACATGCAAAAATAGTAGTAATTCTTGAAATGTACTCTCCTTTGCAGGATTTACCAGTCTGATTACACTTAAATGAGTAACTTCAAAGGCTGAAATGAAATCATCTATGGAAATTCAAAACAAACCTATTTGATCACATCATACTTCACAGCAGGGATACAATTTGCAAGGGCTGAGTGAGGGCATAGTATAAGCTAAAACAGGTTGTGTGTGCAATGAACCAAACTAAATGGTTTATATAAAAGAAATGTTGTTTCCATTAATTTTTCTGGTAATCTTATTAAAAATGCCACCTGTCCAGAATAGAATTGACCAGATTTTAATTCTTTTTCATATCTCAGTGTTTAAACAGAAGACAAAGAAGGTATCATCTTATAGTGATTAAAATATGGCACAAAATTTCTTATTCTCAAATCCTCATTACTGCAGCAGTTTCCCTGGCTCTGTTTCAATACCTGGCTATTATACCTTTTACTTTTCCTATCACTGTACTCAAAGAACTGATTTTTCTGATAAGCCCAAAGAATTATTTTTTCAAAATGCATGTCATATTTTTAACCTCTCTTTAACCAAAATGTTTCTAGTCTATAATACTTAAAATTCACACACATTAAGCAAATATAACATGAAATGCACCTCTTAAAATTCCACCACCACCCCTCCAAAATCCCCTGTAACAACCCTGAACAGGAACTTAACTTTGAATACCAACAGAGATGAAATGGTGTCATAATCAGCATAAGTGCATGTGGACTATTCACCTAGATCAAACACTTTGGACATACACTCAATTAAATTTAAATCCCATTATATAATGTGTACCAGCCTCATTTTATGCAATTCCCTAATTTAATGGCTTAGTATTAGCCTTCTTCCTTTTTGCACACATGGACTAATTTTCACGGTGCTCGGTCCCTTTGGGAAGTAGGTCATTAAAGTCAACTGGATGAAGACACAAACTTAATACCTAAACGGTATTGTAGAAGGGTCAGAGACACAATAGTAATGCAAAACTATTTTTCACTCATCCTTCTTTGTAATATTTATTCAATTCCTCCTTCATATTAATATTGTTCATTAATCTCTAGGATCACAAAGTAGAAGAATCAAGAAAGCTATCAACCTGTTCTAAACTAATTTGTGAAACAAACCAAACAAATCCCAATTAAAAAAAATAAAAATCCTAATTATAATACCATTTAGCTGTTAGAAAATTCTTGTTTTACACTGAGACAGTAGAATCATAATATTCATATTACCTTTCTCAATGTGTATTCTTTTTGTCTCATGTCCCACGTCATGACCAGCCAGATCACCCTCCTTAGGTCCAGGCAGAACATTAGGTGACAAACCCATCAGCATTTGGTTCATAGATAGCCCATTCTGATGGACAGCTGCTAGACACAAGCGCAGGCAGAAAGAAAATCAGCCGTCACATTAACAATACACTTTTGTACTTATTTTATATAGTCTTCCTCTTCATTATACAAGAATTCGCACAATTGCAAAGCTACTTAATTAGTGCTATCAGCATCCACATAGGAGGGGAGTTTCTCCCCGTTACTTCTAATTTTAAACAACTCATTTTAAAAAGAAGAGTTCAGTATCTTTGGACAAGCTTCCAAACATTTAGTTTATTTAACAAGAAGAGAAGTGCAAATTGAAGAAAAACAGAAAAACAGAGAAGGTTCTCCATGAGATATTTACTGATTTATTTTATTTTAGTTAATAGTAAAAAACCTCTTGTATATTAACATTCCAAATATGCAGTCCCTAAATTTCTTAATTTCAGTGTTGTTGTCTCCCAGGTGATAAACACAGTTTTTCAACATATTCTGTGCAACAGCAGAATTGCTTATTTGCTCATCATATAGTTATTTCCAACAGTTCTCTAAACAGACCCTCTTGAGTCTCAAACACATCTCAGAAACCCATATAAGGTACTTTACATTCCTATGCTTTTGTCCTGAAAATTTATATTTGCAAGAGGCTTACACTTTTCTCAGCATTTACTCATATGTACCCCATACTTCTGTAGCAGACATCTTATTCTTGCTGGCACCACAAAAGCAGATGTACTTAGGAATCAGCTGTGATGTTAACAAAGCAGATAGGAGAGAAAATAGTTATTTGATAAATAAGTAAGTTAATGCAGTGATCCAGTGTTTAAAGAACTCTATTATGGTCACATTGGAAGAAACAGTGTGCAATGGTCTCAATCCTCTCTGCTGCTAAATTGAACAGTAAGCTGAACAGTATAATCTCTTCATTAAAAGAGTGTCATTCCTTAGCAAAAACAGTAAGGAACTCTCAAAGTAATTTACTTTTTCATTTAAAGAACAATTGAAAACATCTTTAATGGTTGTAAAATATACCCTATTCAATAAAATTTTAAAAAATTAAAATCCAGGGTTGTGAGTTTTTTTCCCAGATCTTTACCCCATGTGTTACCTGATCTAGTTGAGAGGTGTCCCTGCCCATGACAGGGAGGTTGGATTAAATGATTTCTAAGGTCCCTTCCAGCCTAGACCATTCCATGATTCTACATACGAACTCTGTGAAATGTTGATCTGGTCTAGAGGCCAGGTCTCCATCAAAGTTGCTCTATTACTCCTCTCCTCAATTGGACAGAGGAGAGAAAGTATAACGAAAGGCTCATGGGTTGAGCCTGGGGAAATAGATAGGTAATACTATACAGGATGCCAGTTTAATCTGCACTCTGATTTGTCCAAGGGATATGAAAACAGAATTTTTAGCTTGTCATGGTCAGGCCTCATTTTTTTTCTTTGGCAAATGGTTTGTCATCACATAGTAATGAAAGATCTTTCATCCGAAGGTCAATGAAGAAATCATCTTCCTGAGTCTGCAGAGAGCCTGAAAAGAAGCAGTCTAAAAGGCACGTGCTGCCTCTAAACAACACGACTACGTTTTTCATGTAGTTATTTCACAGCCTTCTATCTGCCTGCCAAATCTTCCAGTTTCACCTACTGACAAAATCCACTGTGAAAAGATGCCTTAAAAGCACAAAGACCCACAACTGAGCAATAATAAAAGGAATGGATAAGTGTAATATGAATTTAAGTAAATAGCCATAAAATAGTAAGGTTTAAAACCTTTTTTTCCAGGTTGTTGCACTGGAATACCATAGAATTCAGGAGTTGTGCCATATAATTTATATTCTGTACAAGGAGCCTTGAAGAAAATGGTATCTCTCTGAGACACCATGGTTTAATTTCACTCCGCCCCTTGTGAGCCATGAGGTAATAAGACTCTGTATCATATTTCTCATCATTAAAATTTTTTTTGTATTTAAAAAATTTATAAAGTATGCACATTTAATTGATTTAACCTAATTCTTCTCTTTACCAAGCAATTCTACGATGTAAAATGTTGCTTATGAAGTCTGATTCAGTTTAGAAATCAAACCAGAGTAACCAGGTTAAATAAAACTCAATTTCTTTAAAAAATGTTTACACTATATGTTCAATTCTAAAACTAATCTAGCAAATTGCTTCCCGGCTGCAATTCTGTATTTCATAGCTCATATCTTTACGTTTAATATGACATGATGGCAGTTTATATCAGTACCCGTTAATGTAGCATCAGATATTATGATACCATAAACTGGGGAGCATAATGTTGGGAGATAGTTACTGCAGCTGAACTTCTGAACATGATACATATGAGATCTATTTAAGACGAGGGCATTTTGATTAGAAAAACCAGCTGCACCTAATCAAGTTTAAAGTGGTGACAAGGAGAAGAATGTGACCTACGGATTCTGTCTGAAGAGCTCTCGGTCCGTGCGGGAGAGCTGGACACACTGCTGCTTCGATGAGAGGATGGATGGCTGCCAGGTCTTCGGCCCTCTTCAAGAGAAGGAGCAGGAGAAGGGCTGTCTGGAACACGTTCCTGGACCCCACAAAAAATAATTGCAAAAAAAAAAAGGCAACGTTAAACTAAAAGTCTGTTTCCAATCGTCACCTCCCTAAACTGTACCACCCTCCTGAATTACAACCTATTCTTTCCTGTGTTGAAGTGTCCAGGATTTGCAGAGTATTCTCAAAGGACACCTGGCAATTTTAGGACACTAGACCTTGTGCTTTAGTATGCAATGTGAGCTCTGCTCATCCTGTCAGGCTTTTAAACTGCCTTCTGCACTACTTATAAAAATAAGGGGTTTGTTTTGCTTTTGGGTGTTGGGTTTTTTCATCACTTCTATCCGCATGCTGTTGAACGGGAAATACACATTTCAGCTTACAGCCTTTAGCCTTACAGGATGAGGAAAGACACATTTTTGTCAATAAATATAGACCAGACACTGTTGTTGTAGCTTACGCTGAGTTCTACTCCACGTTTTAATTTCAAAAGGGCTTCTTGAGCAATGAGATCTTATGGAACTGCTATGGATCATAAAGTAAATATAATCTTCCTACTGAACCTATGCCAGCAACATGACTGATAAAAATCCAAGTGTCTGTTTATACCATGGAGCACAAACTTGGAAGGAACCACACTTTTTTGGAAGAGTGTGGTGCTATCACAGGCCATATCAATACTTCAAAATGGGGAAAAATGCCCATTAGTGTTTCTCTATCCAGGGGACAGCCTGTCATGGCAGCCAGAAGGAGCTATGATGCCCTTCAGAACGTGCCTTGATTTTGAAAATTAGAGCATGAAGACTGTGACGGTTTGAATTGCAATTCTGCTATGTAAGAACCGCCAGTATGTAGCAGAAAGATATATCTAATATTTACACAGAACTTCAACAGAAACAATAAACAAAGGGAGCTGAGTGTAGAATAGTCCTTTCTAGAAAATTCTCTGTCTTTCCCTGCAGTTTCCTTTTTATTGCTAATAGCTCCCAAGACTCTATGTCATTCCTAAAATACATGTGAGTTAGGTTGGTTTGGTCAAATAGTGATAAAAATAAAGAGTTCCTATAAAGGAAATCCACTGAATGAACTTAAAATGTTAAACTAGGGGTTTTTGTTATGTGAGTTTCTTTTTTCCTTGTGATAATTGAAATCCTGACTCTTAACGAAAGAAACAACCAGCAAAAAGCAAAACCAAAAAACTGCACACATTCAACTCACTCTAAGCTTTCGGTAATGAAATAACACAATTAGTACGTGTTTAATAACACATATGAAGATTTGCTGCTGCAAATGCTTCAAGTTTTCCTGACAAGAACATCACGCTCCTTACGTTCTTTACTGCTTTCGCAGCAGTCATTATTTTTCAAGCACAGTAGCTAGACGAACATTTATTTCTCTGAATGCATTCCTACGAAACTGAGCAACAAGACCATCTGTCGGAATCAATAGTATTGTTCCAGGTAAGCTTCATAATAAATATTTGCTAAACTTGAGATCCTTATTGTGAAGGGATTCAATAGGCCTATTGACAGAGTGAGAAAATACATTTCAGACCAATGTTTCAAGACATTTAAGTGGATTCCACTTTAATAGTCTCAGGTTTTTAAGTCAAAAGCATTGATGAGGAGAGTTTAACTGCACCATAGCTCCAGGCTTATTATGACTTTGATTGTGTTTATATGTCCATGAACTGGGTATTCAAGAGAAGGATTATAATGTAGATGCTTTCAGAATGTAGAAGATTTATTTCTTTAGATTTAGGAGGATTTAAGCATGCACAGTGTACAGATTTAATATAAATTGGAACACAGTATATTTAATCATTCGTTTAATATATAATTTCACTGTTTGGCATACAATGTATTGTTCTTACAAGGGTTTCATTAAAATGAAATCCAGTGAGCACATAAGATTTGAATACAGAGCTGCAGAGTAAATTAATTTATTTAAACAGCTTAATTTGTTTATCCTATTTATTTATGTGTGCTTTTACAGCATGTATTATGAGATGGATAGAGAAAAAGGAATGCACAGGACAACAAAATATAATTACTGCACAAACAAAACACATAATGAGTTTTATTCGCATGTAATATGACATAGCAGACAATCTCTATGAGAAAACTACACATACTGGCTTTATCAATTAATTTGTAAAATACCCTTTGACCCCAACAAAACATGCGATTGAACTATGCAGAAATGGAATATAAAGTAATTTATCACCTTAACTCATTTTTTACGTCCTTGCTTTATAATTCCACAATCAATAAAATAGTCTATGGCAATTTTTTGTCTTTATCAAAACTAGCTGCAGTAATAAATGGAAATGCTGCTAATAATAAATTGAAATACTCTGTAGCTCTGAAAAGTCATAGTGATAAACTAATGGTGCTGGAATATCAATATAAGCTGTCTTCTTTACTAGAGATTGTGTGTAGAACAGATGGATTTTGTCTGTGGTAAAATATTAACTTTACATTTAGATTTCACTTTAAAATTTTTCAAAAAAGAAATGTACAAAAAAGTGTTCAGTAAATAATTCAGCTGATGAGAGCTATTTCCTAACTTCTGCAAAAGGCCACTTTCGTACAAGCAAGTGTACATGATCCAGCAAAGAAAGAGAATTTACTATGTCATAATCCTGGCAATAGAAATCACCTAGGGTACTGTCCACTGTCTGGTACTTTTCCTAAAACGTGCCTACTCCCAGGACAAACTTAATTCCACTTAATTAAAGACATCTCTAGAGAATCTGGTGTTGACTTATAGTGTAATTGGGCTCATTGTCTCCCAACACATAAATAAATAAATAAATGCAATCTGACTGACTTTGCTAAAATTAAGTATGAGGAGAAAACTGCAGCGTTCAGCTTGAAATCTCTACATCTGAATGCAAGTCTCTAAATGTAATTTTGACACATGAGCTAGCTATGAAGCTTCAGAGACACCTATATCTAGGATCCTACATAAAGGTGTCTACCTCCAAGGCAAGTTGTCCCAATCAATTGAGATACAGACAATAAAGTCAATGGAGCCTTCTCCAAAACCAGATACCTGCAGCTCAATTCAGCTGCTCACATTTGAGTCACCTGAGTCACTGAACAGTTCTGAGATGTCCACAGCAGATAGACAGACAGTACCTACAAAAGATGTGCTGCCTTCTGGAGTGCTGTCTTCTAGAGTGGCACCAGGATGCCAAAACCACTACTCTCACGCTTACCAACTGATGAGCTGAATAGCCCCAAAACTCCATTGACGGTATTTACTAGAAAACAAGAAATATGAATTTATTTATCGATTGTAAAACATAACCCTCACTAGCTATCTTTTTTCTCCATTTTTTGCTTCCCTATTTGTTTCTACAGGTACTCACAAATAAATAGTAGTGTGAACAATCTAGGACATACGTAGCAATTTAACATATGGTCAAAAAACTTCCCCAAATCGCTAAGACTCTCAGCTAGGCATCACAGCTGAACGTTGTATTAAGCAATGGACAGCACACTTACTAAGGGCAAAATCTGAAGCATTCCCTATCTTGGTGCTCTTTACAATCTGATCCAAATCATCAATCCTAAGCATTTAAGAATCTGACATTTAACTCCTCCAAAAATAGTACTACCATATATGAAACTTTCACTTTAGGGAGCTGCAATGCCTTTTCCTGTGCTCCTCCTCTACTGACATCACAAGTTACACATTTCATAAACAACAGAATTGTTCTTGTGACACTTTTTAAAAAAAAAATAATAATCTTGTAAAGAATGGGTAAAAGGCTTTAATTGTGAGAGACTGAAGCTGTCTCTAGAATTAGACACCACTCTGATTTTGCTCCAGAATACCACGTATCATCCACAACGTAATACTGTCTCAGTCTTTCAAAGTAAACCAGAACTCTCTTAAAGTACTTATCAAATTTTTTACATTTTTCAAACAGCTCTTTGCATAGAGCAAAGAGTGTGCTCTCATTCCAAAAGTTCCTTTTAAGTAATTTCCTATTAAGATTTATCCTAGTAAATCACTAATGGTATCCAGAAGACCACAAATACTTTCTTCCCAGTATCATATATGTCTTTTAATTCTACCAGGTCGCAAAAGTTCAATATCAAACATGGGGTTTTTTTGCATCTTTTCTTTTTGCTAAGCAGCATGTTTTTGTTGTTTGAAAACTGCCTCATTACCAAAAGTCTTCCTCAAAAATACATCAAAACATAAAGTTGTCGGACTTCAGCTGTTGGTCCCTTGGTCCCTAAATCACTACTGAAGAGAAGGTATTTCAGGTAATATATGTAGGATTAATCCTTCTGCTTGTAAAATAGACAAAAAAGTGGTATCTTCTAGGCTCTTAACCACCTCAATCTTTCCACAAACATTCTTTGCCATTCC